CACCAATCAGGAGAGAGGTCTTCCAAGAAGGGACTAGGGTTTCTCCAGAGCAGGGACACTTGTTGATCAGGAGGGTATCCATGGCAGAGGTCAAAGAAGCCCTTTTTAGTATTGGGAATGAAAAAGCACCTGGTCCTGATGGTTTTACTGCAGCCTTCTTCAAGAGTAAATGGAACATTGTGGGCCAAAGTCTTTGTGAAGCTGTGGAGGAGTTTTTCAGAAGTGGGAGGCTACTCAAACAAATCAATCATGCAACTGTCACCTTGATACCTAAAGTGAAAGAGAACCCTGGAGTGAAGGATTTCAGACCCATAGCTTGCTCAAATGTTACCTACAAGGTTATCACTAAAATCTTGTCCAACAGAATGAGCCATATTCTGCCAGGTATTATTGATAGTGCTCAGGCAGCCTTTGTTGAAGGGAGGAACATGATGGATAATGTTTTGCTTGCTCAGCAGTTGGTTAGAAGGTATGCCAGGAAAAGAACTGCTCCTAAGTGTATGATGATGGTGGATCTCACCAAAGCCTATGATACAGTTTCTTGGGATTTTTTGGAGAATGTCATGAGAGAGCTTGGGTTCCCTGTCCAATTCCTCAAGTGGGTTATGGAATGTGTGTCTACTGCTACCTTCTCCTTAGCCATCAATGGAGGCCTTCATGGGTTTATTAAATGTAAGAGGGGTATTAGGCAGGGGGATCCTATGGCTCCCTCCCTTTTCCTCTTTTGCATTGAATATCTCTCTAGATTGCTTAAATTGATGGTTAAGGAGAGGAAGTTTAGCCACCATTCCTTGTGTGCCACCTTGGGGATTACTCACATTGCTTTTGCAGATGATTTGATGCTGTTTTCAAGAGGAGACATTGAGTCTGTTACTGTCCTGGCTGATGCCCTTAACCACTTCTCTCAAGCCTCTGGACTGAGAGTTAATTCACAGAAATCAAGCATTTTTCTAGCTAGAGAAGTTAAGGATAATAGACAGGACATCCTTAACCTGGTCCAATTTCCTCTTGGAAGACTACCTGTCAGATACCTTGGTCTACCATTAACTTCCCAAAGAGCCTCTGAAAGGGACTTTGCACCTCTTATTGCTAAGGTTGAGGACAATATATGTAAGTGGAACACTAAAACTTTGTCACAGGCTGGGAGAGTAGAGCTGATCAGAAGTGTAATCCAAGGGATCCAGAGTTTTTGGCTTCAGGCTTTCCCTATCCATAAGACTGTTCTCAATAGAATCACAACTATCTGCAGAAGCTTCTTGTGGGGCAGTAAGTTTTCTAAGGTTGCTTGGAGTGATATCTGTAAACCAATTGAAGAAGGAGGGCTGGGGTTGAGGAACTCTTACACTTGGAATCAAGCTTTTCTTATCAAAAATCTTTGGAATATTGCCTGTGCTAAGGATACTTTGTGGGTTAAATGGGTTCATGCAGTTTACCTTCAAAATAGGGAGGTGTGGACATGGACACCTAAGGAGGGGGATTCACACCTTTTCAAAAAAATGTCCATTGCTAGAGACCTTTTTGTGGATAAGCTTGGGGGTCCTGATGGGATTCATGACAGATTGCAGAACATGTGTGAGAATGGCAAGTTAAATACCACCACTGTATATGATCTACTCAGAACTAGGAATCAGCCAAAGCCTTGGAGGAAATTCATTTGGCAGACCTATATCCCCCCTAGATTTTCCTTTACCACTTGGCTGATCCTTAGGAAAAGGCTTCCTACCAAGGTGAACCTCTCCTATGTGGATATGGAAAACAGGGATTGTAGCCTCTGTCACTTGGATGCTGAAGACACAAAACATCTCTTCTTTGCTTGCCATGTCTCTGCTCAGATTTGGAATGGAGTTAAGGAGTGGCTCAACTTGGATGTTGCTCTCTCAACTTTAAACAGAGCTATCAAGTGGCTTAGGAAGTCTCACCATGATCATTCAAACATCAAGAAAATGTGTAGATTGGCAACTCTTAGCACTGTTTATCACATCTAGAGACTTAGGAATGGGGCATACTTTGATCAGATTGCAGTTGATGTCCATTCTACTATCCAGAAGATCAAGCTGAGTGTTTATAAGGTGATGTACAGGCTGTTTCCTAATGCCCCTTTGAGGTTGGGATTGAGAATTGGTTGAGGTTGGACCTCATTTTCAATTTTGGGCTGGGTTTGGGACCCTGATGGTTTTTCCATTGGGTTGGCAGGAAACTAGCCAAACTCCCCATACCCCTTATGGATATCTAGAGTTTGGGTTGGGTCCTGGGTTTCTTTCCTCCTTCTTTCTCTTTCTCTTCCCTCCCCTCTCCTTCCCTTCTTTCTACTTTCTTCCTTTCTTTTTTCCTTCCTTTCTCTCTCTTTCTTTGCTGATTTCTGGGTGATAGACCAAACTACCCTTCCCTACTCATTCTTGGAGTGGGTATTGGCAGTCTTGATCTGGAGCCCCCTCTGAAATGGACTTTGAATTTGGATTGGAGTTTCTGATTGGCCTTGGGCCTGACCACTGGGTGGTTGGAGACATATCAACCTCTGTAGACCCCTTCTGGATCTCTAGATGTTGGTGTGGATCCCTTTCCTTTCTTACCTTGTTCCCCCTCCCTCCCTTCTTCTCTCCATTTTCTCTTTCTCCTTTTATTCCTTTCCTTCTTCTTCCCTTTCTTTGCTGATTTCTGGGTGATAGACCAAACTACCCTTGCCTACTCATTCTTGGAGTGGGTATTGGCAGTCTTGATCTGGAGCCCCCCCTGGAATGGACTTTGAAATTGGATTGGAGTTTCTGATTGGCCTTTGGCCTGACCACTGGGTGGTTGGAGACATATCAACCTCTGTAGACCCCTTTTGGATCTCTAGATGTTGGTGTGGATCCCTTCCTTTCTTACCTTGTTCCCCCCTCCCTCCCTTCTTCTCTCCTTTTTCTCTTTCTCCTTTTCTTCCTTTCCTTCTTCCTCCCTCTTCTTGCTTTTCTTCTGGGTGACAAGTCAGACTAAACTAACACTCTTCCTTTGAGTGGCTAGGCTTAGAATGGCTTGGAACCCCTGGCTCCTGGTTTTGGGCATCTGTTCCTGGTTCTTGGGTTTTTGCAACTTAGTTTGATCTGCCTTCGGGCTGGATCTTTGCTTGGCTGGAAACACCTTAACCTCTGATGGATGTTTAGAGGTTGGGATGGATTTCCTTAAACATTGATGAACCTGTTGTGTGTGCCCTGGGGTGTTGTAACATCTAGTTGTGTGTGACCTGGGCTGTTGTACCACTTGATACCTAGTTTGCAGACTAGCTGTTGTTTGATACTCTAATAATGAACCTCCATGATGATTGTGACTGAACTGAGCTGCTGTTTATGGTGTTGGATGAGATGCTCTAAATGCTCTTGCTCCTGACTTTGTAATTTGGTGTGCTTCATGTTTAACATGTTTGTGGCTATACCTGCATGGTTTCCCTGTGTTGTAGAAGTGATGATATCCTTCGAAGGGATTTTGAGAACCTTGGCTATAACACCTAATCTGATGGGGTTGATGATCTCCTTGTGCAAACAAGAAAAGTGTTGATGGCTCTTGGTGACTCCTTGCTGGTGACTCCTTGTGGATGTAAACTTTAGTGAAGGCTTGTGTGTATTTGGCCTAGTGTATGTTGGACTCCCTGTGTTGTAGAAGAACTGATAGTTTCTTCGAAGGGATAGTTCTTTAGCATTTGTTTGTATTGTAGATTCGTTGTTATGTGATGTACGTCTTTGTTTTACGGTGTGATGTATTTGTTAGTGTAATTTGTAACCTATGCGTGTAACCATGTTGATGGTTAAGCATATAACTTTGATGTATTTGTTTGATTTGGGTAATAATAATTTACATGTTACCCTTGGAATGATTTCAACAAATGGATTAACATATATGTTGATGTAAGAATGTGATGAATGATTCGACAAGTCTAACGCAAAGGTACAGACCTGGAAATCATCGGCCGAAAGCTTACGGATGAGCGGGAGTGGAAACAACATCGGAAATCACCAACTTTGTCATTCCCGTCACAATTGGACAGCCTGTGGTATTTTGAGCATATCTCCATCGTTTCCTCACGGAATCGCAAACCGTTTGATTCTGTGGATTCCTAAGACGTAAGGCTACAACTTTCGTGAAGGAACAATGTTAAAATAATGAGTTTAAAGTGGTCAAATATAGCTCATAAGTGGACTCATAGTTGCTGCCAGGATTTTGGATGTTCCGACGAACAACGATTCCGACGATTATCTCATTAACTTCAATATTCTAACGCCGAACCTTCTCTACGATACCTTCCGGATGTTCCTAAGAAGTGTTAGAGAGTTTATGGTAAGTTCTTGGAATGAAACAATATGAATTTGGTGAAGAAAATTGTCCAACCCGAGGAGCTCGCCACCACTGGCGCAGTCCCGGTATTTTGGCCATATCTTCTTTGTTACTTAACGAAATCGCAAGCCGTTTGTTAGGCTGGATTTGTATCGTCTGGGGCTACAACTTTGGTTCAAAAGGTATTTCGAGATAATGGATGGAAAGTTACAGAACTTACGTAGAAGTTGATGCTGCGTTTGGAACTCATGATTTGGAAACTATGGATGGTTTTCTTGCTTCTTCATCTCCTTCCTTAGTACACAACAATGGAGTTTTTGTGTTTTTCTCCTTGTTGTTTGGCCGACAGAGAGAGAAATGGGAGAGGGAATGGAGTTGTGTGAATTTGACTTTAGAGATTTAGGGGGAATTGAAGTAGACTTAATAGCTAAAGTTATTTGGCTTATTAAGTAGTGAGGTGTATAATGGAGCTTGGAGAGATTTTCAAAACACTTAGGCCCCGTTTGGTACATGGAATTCAAACTGTGGAATTGGAATTGAGGACTTCAATTCCGATTCTGGTGTTTGGTAGCACAAACATTATATGGATTTGGAATTGATAGTGCAAAAAATGAATTGGAATTGGCAGAATTGAATTTTATGGAATTGAATCTCATGAAAATTCAATTCAATTCAATTCTAATTCCGTCAATTCCGTATACCAAACGGACCCTTAGGAAATTTCCTAAGGTGGCTTGGCTGTCCGATTAGTGAAGATTTAAGAAGAAATAATGTTTGGCTTTTTGTCCAAACTGAATAGTTTACTCCAAACGGTACGCGCTTTTTCGCCCAAACTGTTCCGAATTGAAAACGGATTGCGTCTTTGAAATCAGACTGTCAAAACTAGAATTTTGACGTAATCAAAATATTATTCTAAGAACTTTTATTTTTCTTAGTGTCTGGGTCTGTCTCAGTCATAAATTAATTTAATAATATGAATGAGATAAAAATATACGAATTAAATCCAAATGATTAATATGATGTTGTCAAGTGTCAAAGATTAAGATTTCTAATCTTATGAAATCTCTTTTGAATTGAGTTTATTTTATTTTATGGGTCAAAGTTACAAATTTTAATATTTAAAATTGACATAACTTGAAATCTATAAATCAGATTGGTTCATAAAATGNTTTTATTTTTCTTAGTGTCTGGGTCTGTCTCAGTCATAAATTAATTTAATAATATGAATGAGATAAAAATATACGAATTAAATCCAAATGATTAATATGATGTTGTCAAGTGTCAAAGATTAAGATTTCTAATCTTATGAAATCTCTTTTGAATTGAGTTTATTTTATTTTATGGGTCAAAGTTACAAATTTTAATATTTAAAATTGACATAACTTGAAATCTATAAATCAGATTGGTTCATAAAATGTACCGTTGGATTCGTCTCTTCGAGATATATCCATAAATATAACTTTTTAACAAAAAGTCATTATTTTGAAAATCCATTTATTTTTGGTCAAACGTATAAATATTTCTTATTGGACAAAAAAAAATTACTTTATAATAAATTTTAGGCCATATTTTGTGGCGTTACATTTTCTCCTGACCTTCATTCTGCCCTATCACCTCTCCCAAACAAACAACCCTACTTTCTTCACCATTTCATACACAAATCCAACCTATTCTTCACAATATATTCCCCTCTATAATTTGTCCATATTTATCCATAGTTTTTCCTAAGCTTGGGTACATCAGAGTGTGTGTTTGGAGTCTATTTCATATAATAGTAGTGAATATTATTGTGTAAAAAGAAATAGCCCCAAATAAAATAAGAGTGTGTTTATCTCTTATTCATTATTTGGTTTATCCTTATACAACAAGAAAACCACCAAAGAACTCCCTTTTTCTCTCCCAATTTCGTCCATCCTCTTTCCCCCATTTAAACACTTCATTTCTTCATCAAAAACCACGCCATAATATTGCTTTTCTCCTGCCCTTCATTCTGTGATATACCCCAGGTTACACCTTCACACACGCCACTAGTATTAAAAGAAATAAAGTGTTTAATGTCTAGGTGTTATGATCCATTTTGGGTTGAACTCATTGATCCATCCCACACCAAAACCCAAACCATGACCTATCTCTCCCAAAACCCAACCTACGCCGAAATGCCTACAAGCCCAACCCACTCCCACATATCCAAAGTATTTTTACTACTCAAATAAAGCCATTTTCCTCTCCCTTGAAGCCCTGGCCGAAATTCAAAGGAAGGGTACAATCCAAAATAATGTGAGTGTTGTTTTCTTCCATAAATATTCCTTTCATCAAATAAGAACCTTCCACATCCCTTCCTACTTCAAAGTCACGAAAATATGCCCCCATTTGTCCTTAAAATTAGTCCCCATCCATCACAAACATCCCCCACTACAAGAGGAACAAACCAGGGGACAAGGAATAAAACATGTCTTTTGTCCTGTTGTGATAATACATCAAACCCAGTCCCTTTCACACCCCCTTATGCCCATGGCCGAATTCAGCCCCCCAAATATCCCATTTATCACCCTTCAAATCCACAATAAAACCAAAGGAATAAAGAATAATCCTTAATGTATTATTCCTCATGTGTGGACCAAAAATACAGCCCCTCACCTCACCCTTCACATAACCAAACCACCCCCTTCTCTCACCCTTCACATGGCCGAAATCCCCTCATCAAAGACACCCCATATTCACACTACAAGATTTGGTTCTATTTGCGACGGATTATCTGCAACGGATTAATTCCGTCACAAATTGCGACAGATTTTGCGACAAAAACAATGAATTTTAAAATTTGACGGAATCTGCGACGGAATTGTAATTTCCGTCGCAAATCTGCGACAGCGACGCTCTTCTGTCGCAAAGGGTTGACCGTCAGTTTTTTAAAATCTATATTTGCGACGGATGTTGCGACAGAAGGATTTTTGTCGCAGAAGTTAAATTAAAACCTTATCTGGTTTCATTTGGTTCAACTTCACCACAGAACCGCAGAACCTGAAGACAATCGCCGTTCGTCCTCGCCTCCAGCCGTCATCGAGCACCGACCTCCACTCCTTCGCCGCTACATCGTCATTGACCGTCGACCCACCACCCTCCCAACCGCCGTCCGCCTTTCGCCGGCCTAAACCCAAGGTTAAACCCTAATTCTTTCTCTCAAGATTTGAAGTGTGAAATTTACTTAAATCATTTTTTTTTGTGATTGCATGATAATGATGATTTGATTTAGTGTAAATTATTAAAAAAGTATTGTGTTTATAGTTTGTATTATCTTTGCTAAATTTTTTTGTTAAATTTGATAGTTAAAGTGGATTAAATTTATTTTATGAAATTTATCATATGTTTTTTTCTATGCTATTTTTTGGTAATTATATAAGCTTATCATAAGAAATTTTGATTTGATTATAAGATTTTATTTTATATGATTCTAGAAAATTGTTTATTTCATATGA